CACAAGGTGCCTGGCTTTGCCCAGACTGACCTATTTCCTAAGGTGTGCTCCCTCCTTCAACAGCCCAAAATTAACAGAATATGACACACTCCTAAGGTCAATAACCGTGAAAGTGTTAAGCCTCTCCCTGCAAGATGACCAATGGGACCAAGCAACGCTCTCAGTTAGACTCGGGGGGATAGGTATTCGCAAGGCGACACAGTTAGCATTTCCGGCATTCTTATCCTCGACCAGTGCAACAGGTGAATTAGTTAAGGAAATACTACCGGAACACCTAAGAGACTCCATTGGGATTCATGATCCCAAATTCGTTGAAGGAGCCGGTCAGTGGGACACTCTTGTCAACTCTCATCCTCGACCAACTTTTCCAAATGACTGCAAACAGTCCAAATGGGATAGCCCCATAGTGGAGAACATCGCCACATTATTGCTGGAGGCAGCTTCCAGGAAGGACAAAGCGCGTCTTCTAGCTGTGCAAGCGCCCCATGCCAGGGACTTCCTGTTGGCAGTCCCCTAATTCCGCCTTGGGCACCCGCCTGGACCATCGGACCCTAAGTATTGGTGTTGCTCTGCGCCTTGCCGCCCCTATCTCCACCGAGCACCGGTGTATTTGCGGCCATGCACGGGCAGACCAATACGGCAGCCATGGTCTCATCTGTCGTAAGACACAGGGAAAGATTGCCAGACATGAAGCAGTCAGTGACATCATCAAGAGAAGTTTGGCTTCAGCTGGGTGCCCAGCACAAAGGGAACCTCAGTTGTGCAGGCCTGACAACAGCCAAAAACGCCCAGATGGAGTCACCCTGCAGCCGTGGAGGGAAGGTAAACAGGTCGTGTGGGAGTACACGTGTGCATCCACATTGGCTGATACCTATCTACCTTACAGCGCAGCTGAGGGAGGCGGGGCGGCCACCTTCAGGGAGACCCAGAAAACTAACAAGTACAGGGACCTAGAACGTTGTTACAGGTTCGTGCCAATAGGCTCTGAGACTCTGGGCGCCTGGGGTAAATGTGCACTTAAGTTCCTGAAGGAGCTGGGCGAGGAACTCATTGGGAAGACTAGAGACCCAAGAGCGGCCAGTTTTATGTTCCAGCGTCTCAGTGTCGCTGTTCAGAGGGGAAATGCGTGCTGTATCTTGGGTACGCACCCGACCCCCGAGGAGCTGGACGAGGTCTTCGAACACTGATTGGTATAGTGTTATATTGTTATATAAGTGTGTGTTTTCTGTAAACTGTAGCATTGCAATAAAATCAAATAAAAACAAATAATAGGGGTGGTAGAAGAGGAAAAGATTAAAGAATTCACTGAGAATCCACAAGGTAGTCTCTGAACACTATTTATTTTCTTCTTCGAGGATGTGGGTCCCTTTAATTAAACCAGTGGTGGTACCCCTAAATTATATATATATATATATATATATATATATATATATATATATATATATATATATATATATATATATATATATATATATATATATATATATATATATATATATATATATATATATATATATATATATATATATATATATATATATATATATATATATATATATATATATATATATGTCGTACCTAGTAGCCAGAATGCACTTCTCGGCCTACTATGCAAGGCCCGATTTGCCTAATAAGCCAAGTTTTCCTTAATTAATATATTTTCTCTAATTCTTTTCTTATGAAATGATAAAGCTACCTATTTCATTATGTATGAGGTATTTTTTTTTTATTGGAGTTAAAATTAATGTAGACATATGACCGAATCTAACCAACCCTACCTAACCTAACCTAACCTATCTTTATAGGTTAGGTTAGGTTAGGTAGCCGAAAAAGTTAGGTTAGGTAGCCAAAAAACAATTAATTCATGAAAACCTGGCTTATTAGGCAAATTGGGCCTTGCATAGTAGGCTGAGAAGTGCGTTCTGGCTACTAGGTACGACATATATATAAATATATATATATATATATATATATATATATATATATATATATATATATATATATATATATATATATATATATTTTTCTTGATAATCCTTGTTTCAGTGCTGAGGTGATGTCGGTCTGTGAGGATGTCGAGGTGATGTTCAATACGGGTACGGAGACTTTCGTCGATGTTGCTATTTCTCAATTCGTTTGTAGCATGAAGTAGTTGCGCTTTGTTGTCTTTGATTTAATTTTCTGCCTTGTATATCTGATCACGAATCAGATCTTAGAATCAGAATGTAATAAGTTTTACGAAACGCGCTCAAGTGTCGCGTCAGACTAGAAATAAAAATGAATTTTGGAGAATTGATTTTTGAATTACCACCAACAGTGAAAAGAAACGTACGAAAGAGAGAGAAAATTCGTGTTAAAATTATTAATCTTACTTTTTCGGTCATATTTAATAATATATGTCTACAGGAAAGACTGCTACCAAAATATACTAATATATATATATATATATATATATATATATATATATATATATATATATATATATATATATATATATATATATATATAACTGAAAACTCACACCCCAGAAGTGACTCGAACCCATACTCCCAGGAGCAACGCAACTGGTATGTACAAGATGCCTTAATCCACTTGACCATCACGACCGCACATAATGAGGTGATAGCCGAGGCTATTTGAACCACCCCACCGCCGGCACTCAGATAGTAATCTTGGGCATAGCATTTTACCAAATCACCTCATTCTTTGGGGCACACGTGAGGAACACAAATGCGAACAAGCCTGAATGGTCCCCAGGACAATATGCAACTGAAAACTCACACCCCAGAAGTGACTCGAACCCATACTCCCAGGAGCAACGCAACTGGTATGTACAAGACGCCTTAATCCACTTGACCATCACGACCGGACATAATGAGGTGATAGCCGAGGCTATTTGAACCACCCCACCGCCGGCACTCGGATAGTAATCTTGGGCATAGCATTTTACCAAATCACCTCATTCTTTGGGGGCACACGTGAGGAACACAAATGCGAATTAGCCTGAATGGTCCCCAGGACAATATGCAACTGAAAACTCACACCCCAGAAGTGACTCGAACCCATACTCCCAGGAGCAACGCAACTGGTATGTACAAGACGCCTTAATCCACTTGACCATCACGACCGGACATAATGAGGTGATAGATGAGGCTATTTGAACCACCCCACCGCCAGCACTCGGATAGTAATCTTGGGCATAGCATTTTACCAAATCACCTCATTCTTTGGGGCACACGTGAGGAACACAAATGTGAACAAGCCTGAATGGTCCCCAGGACAATATGCAACTGAAAACTCACACCCCAGAAGTGACTCAAACCCATACTCCCAGGAGCAACGCAACTGGTATGTACAAGACGCCTTAATCCACTTGACCATCACGACTGGACATAATGAGGTGATAGCCGAGGCTATTTGAAACACCCCACCGCCGGCACTCGGATAGTAATCTTGGGCATAGCATTTTACCAAAGCACCTCATTCTTTGGGGCACACGTGAGGAACACAAATGCGAACAAGCCTGAATGGTCCCCAGGACAATATGCAACTGAAAACTCACACCCCAGAAGTGACTCGGACCCATACTCCCAGGAGCAACGCAACTGGTATGTACAAGACGCCTTAATCCACTTGACCATCATGACCGGACATAATGAGGTGATAGCCGAGGCCATTTGAACCACCCCACCGCCGGCACTCGGATAGTAATCTTGGGCATAGCATTTTACCAAATCACCTCATTCTTTGGGGCACACGTGAGGAACACAAATGCGAACAAGCCTGAATGGTCCCCAGGACAATATGCAACTGAAATCTCACACCCCAGAAGTGACTCGAACCCATACTCCCGGGAGCAACGCAACTGGTATGTACAAGACGCCTTAATCCACTTGACCATCACGACCGGACATAATGAGGTGATAGCTAAGGCTATTTGAACCACCCCACCGCTGGCACTCGGATAGTAATCTTGGGCATAGCATTTTACCAAATCACCTCATTCTTTGAGGCACACGTGAGGAACACAAATGCGAACAAGCCTGAATGGTCCCCAGGACAATATGCAACTGAAATCTCACACCCCAGAAGTGACTCGAACCCATACTCCCGGGAGCAACGCAACTGGTATGTACAAGACGCCTTAATCCACTTGACCATCACGACCGGACATAATGAGGTGATAGCCAAGGCTATTTGAACCACCCCACCGCTGGCACTCGGATAGTAATCTTGGGCATAGCATTTTACCAAATCACCTCATTCTTTGAGGCACACGTGAGGAATGCTATGCCCAAGATTACTATCCGAGTGCCGGCGGTGGGGTGGTTCAAATAGTCTCGGCTATCACCTCATTATGTCCGGTCGTGATGGTCAAGTGGATTAAGGCGTCTTGTACATACCAGTTGCGTTGCTCCTGGGAGTATGGGTTCGAGTCACTTCTGGGGTGTGAGTTTTCAGTTGCATATTGTCCTGGGGACCATTCAGGCTTGTTCGCATTTGTGTTCCTCACGTGTGCCCCAAAGAATGAGGTGATTTGGTAAAATGCTATGCCCAAGATTACTATCCGAGTGCCGGCGGTGGGGTGGTTCAAATAGCCTCGGCTATCACCTCATTATGTCCGGTCGTGATGGTCAAGTGGATTAAGGCGTCTTGTACATACCAGTTGCGTTGCTCCTGGGAGTATGGGTTCGAGTCACTTCTGGGGTGTGAGTTTTCAGTTGCATATTGTCCTGGGGACCATTCAGGCTTGTTCGCATATATGTATATATATATATATATATATATATATATATATATATATATATATATATATATATATATATATATATATATATATATATATATATATATTGAAATTAAATCCTTAAGTAAATGAATGTGCTGACATGAGTAAAGGAGCAAAATCTTGACATATAAATAGTTTTTCCTTAAACTTTTAATCACCAAAATGATACTAAAATAGTTAATATCGACGATGATACATGGGAGACGCTTACCCTTTGGTGGCAAAATTTGTCCAGAGCTTAACCATGAGTTGGCTAAAATCATCTTTGTCGCTCTTTCCAGGTCGTGGATCCCATCCAGGTCGCTTAAAGAGGTACTGCAACTCTTGAGAGTGAAGCACATCTGTATGAAACAGAGTAAGTTTAGTGTCTCATGTCTCTCCATTAGTATGGCTATGGGTTACTAAAGCGTCACAATCATCGGTACAACAAAAATATTGTTGCTCAGTACAGTGTCAGTCCTGTATAACCCATTATACAAAAATATGACAAATAACATATGGGTAACATGCATTATCCTAGTTCGTTAGAAAGGATTTGATCCTTTATCAGGAAAGAGGTTGCGACTGAAGCTATTGATGAAGGCTGGCTCTATGTATTAGGAATGTCTTCATCTACTTTAGCACTATTGGGAAGGACCATGAGTTTCAAATGAAAGGATAACTATCAGAATGGGGAGAAGTAAAGAGTGGAATATTACGTGGGTTGGTAATAGTGCTCATCCTATTTCTATTATGTCAACGAGTTGACATAATATTGAATCCTTCAGATCAGTGTTTGCTGATGACTCAAAATTTATCGTGAGTCAGAACTGAGGGGGGACTGTGTTGCCTGCTACGAACTTGACCCCTCTGGAGGTGGCCTAAACAAATACTGCTTGGCTTTAATCCAACAAATTCTAAGCTTTATGGATAGAAATGGGAGGAAGAAGACCTGTTTAGCTGTATAGAAGGGAGGAAAAATTCATGTATCAGAAAACAAGAAAGACTTGAAAGATAAGGTCTAAATCAAAGTCTAAATCTAAATTTTATCTGGATGTTGACAAACTTGACAGTGATATTATTGTAATCAATTGATGCCAATAAATTAAACACAATAGTGACTCAAATAAAAAAAAAAAAAGTTTGACATTCTCGTCACAACAAACGTCGTTGAAAGCTGCAGGTCACTACCACATATCCTCAAGAGTGAAAGCTGCAGGTCACTACCACATATCCTCAAGAGTGAAAGCTGCAGGTCACTACCACATATCCTCAAGAGTGAAAGCTGCAGGTCACTACCACATATCCTCAAGAGTGAAAGCTGCAGGTCACTACCACATATCCTCAAGTGTGAAAGCTGCAGGTCACTACCACATATCCTCAAGTGTGAAAGCTGCAGGTCACTACCACATATCCTCAAGAGTGAAAGCTGCAGGTCACTACCACATATCCTCAAGAGTGAAAGCTGCAGGTCACTACCACATGTCCTCAAGAGTGAAAGCTGCAGGTCACTACCACATATCCTCAAGTGTGAAAGCTGCAGGTCACTACCACATATCCTCAAGTGTGAAAGTTGTACCTTCACGACGGCCGTTATAACTCTTTTAAGGACAGTGTCGGGAAAAAACTGACATCCTTTAATAATGTTAGCTACACTATGCAGATAACTGCGCTGCTGTTCTTGTACTAATTCATTAACCAATACTAACTCAAATCATTTTAACAACTCGTTCAGAGCAAACGAGATTACAGTGGGACTTTCCCTTAAACCTGAGATATTATTGTCACGTCACCATAAATCTATATAAATAAAAATGGAAATGATCGTTTGTGCATAACTGCTAATCTCCGAAAGTTCTTTACCGATTGCTTTGAAATTTTGACAAAACATTTCATTCGAATAGGCGCGTCGTTTTATATACCTACTATATAGATGACACCCTTGTGACAGGTAAAAAAATGCAGTTTTGAAAAATAACGCCATCTGTTGCAGAAAATTGCAACATGCACGCAATACTAAATACGTCACGAATTCAATTTCAATGATTCCGATTGCATTGATAAATTTTATTTTCATAGATTTCGATTTATTTTATTTTTTATTGAATTATTTTGTTTGACATTGTGATGAATTGAGCTGTGTTGTTTACCATACCGTTCATTTCGTAAGTATAAGTTTAGATACCACACCTGTGACAGGTAAAACTATGCTTTTCTTGAAAAACAGCGCCATCTGTTGCATGTAAGAGCTATATGCTATATATGTAATAGCTACACATGCTATATTATATATGTTACAATTTCATTTCAGTGTTTCGGATTGCATTGATAAATTGAATTTTCATAGATTTTTATATATTTTCATTTTGATTTATTTTCATTTTGATTTAATTATTTTGTGTGAATTGCGTTGGAATTGAGCTCTGTTGTTTACCATACTGTTAATTTCGTGAGTATAGTTTTTATACTCACGAAATTAATTTTTTATTTAATTTAATTTATTTAAGTATAATTTTTTTTAAATTTTTTTCATATTTTTATTTAATTTTTTTAACTGTTTTTCTTATATTTCAGTGATGGGAACATCAGATCACTTGATGTTTCCAATTTTCTAATGGGAACATCAGACTATTTGGGAAGGCATCAAACGAGGGAGTGGGGGATTGTGGGGATGACGAGGGGACGGAAGTGAGAGATGGTGGGGAGGACAAGGGAATAAGGGAGGGGGTAATGGTTGGGGAAGGACGAGGGGACGTGGGAGTTTGGGATAGTGGGGGACGCGGGGATGGGGGAATGGAGAATGGTGAAGAGGACAAAGGAACAGGGGAGTGGGGCATGGTGGGAAGGAAGAGGGGATGGTTGAGTGGGGAATGGTGGGGAGGACACGGGGAATGATTATGAGGCCGATGAGACGGGTGAGGGGGAAATGGTGGGGAGTACTGGGGGACAGAGAAGGTTGCTGTGACTTAGCAACGGACATGCGTTGCTGAGCCACAGCAACGCGTGGTCGAGTACTACTAGTTATATTAATAAACTATCAACAATCGCCAAAAATCTCTATTCCAGCATTATGAACAATAAATAACTGTTCTCCTATGTCCATAAATGGGCCGAAAATTGAACCGGTTTCCAGTGACGTCACTGAGCCGGCAGGAGGGAGGCGCCATTGTGTGACTTGAATTCTCTCGTAAGGCAAGCACTCTAGGCGGCTACGTTGATACTCTTGACTTAAGCAATTTCAATGTTCTTCAGCTGTCGCTACCTCAAATAACGAGAGTAACTCGAATCCGGTTGTTCATAAATATTCAATATTTTATCAACAGGCCTTTTAATATTATACCAGACCACCGGTCATGAGGTGGGAGATCCACAGAAGTAGGGTGAGTCTCTCACAGTCATTTAATAACCCATAATTCTGAACGTGTTATATCTGTGATAGGAAGTATATTTGCAGTAGTTATATTACAGTCTTCCGGCAGATCTTCTGTGGTCATCAGGGAAACCAAGTGACATCAAACTGTTGCATCACGTGGGAACAGACGCCATAAGCCACAAGGCACATACCTGGCCGATTGTTCACATGTCCCACAGTTGTACTCGTATTGAGGCCTTCAAGTCAGATAAGGCGCTTGAGTACTCAATCTAACCTCAGTTAGAGGTTAGAACTAACTAGAGGAAATGAACTAACACATAGTAAAAATTTTCCTGTCAACCGATAATTCTCGATTGATAGGCTACTATAAATATATAACCCTCCCATACTTGTGTACAGATATGACTTGTGAGAGAAATTAATTCCATACAGTCCACTCAATAAAACATAAAGTCCGCTAAGCAATCTTAAGAAATAAAATAATAATTAAATTTAAATTAGAACTCATTAAATTAACTAATTAAATAAAATCCCACGAGTCAGAGTTCCCCACAGACTGTGTAAAATCTTGCAAAAGAAATTACCAAATAATAATACCGGCCTCTGACTTACTGAGGGGAGATAAAAGTGGCAATGCTAATAATTCCTCACAACAAAACCAATACCCGAGCTAAAGAGCATCTGTTTATGGTTCAATGAGAAGTGGCTGAAAGTTATGGAAATATCATTATAGCAGCCAACATATGTTAATAAAAGTTGATTTTTGTCTGCCTGTTGAATGGTGGAAGACTTGGAAGGCGTGAAGGACATGGAAAACGCCTCAGTTGATGCCTCGTCATCTTGCAACAGTGATGTGTTTTATCACTGCAACATTCAGTGCAAGCACTGAGTCCTAGTGGCATGTGTTATTGGTAAATATATTTCTTCATAGCACTGGATGTTTTATCACCTCATGCGATCATGTCCGCCTTGTTTTAGCGAACAGCATTCACAATCTCTAACTGGAAAATTAATACAAAACACCTGACCCCCCAAAACAGTAACCGCACAGGTATAAGAATTGACCCCTAAGATGGAGTTGCCAGTGTTGTCAAGTGTTCCTGCTTGTTCCAAGGTCATCTCCATGACATGCACGACGGATGGACATATATGCCCTTGTGAACCAAGATGTGTAATGACTTCTGTGTAATGGATGTGTAATGTAAGCAGAAACACTTATGTTTCTATTTAAAGATACACAAGAAGTATGATAACACAGTAATACATAAAGATACACGAGAAGTATGGTAACACATAAAGCTACACCAAAGGTTGTAACACATAAACCTACACCTGAGGTTGTATGGTAACACATGATGTGAAACCCATATAGCCTCATGACTCAGGCTATACCCCAACACGAGTTATTCCTCACTTGGTCCTACAGAGGATCAAGATAAAAGTTTATTATAGTTTGCACCGTAAACCACCGTTCGACGATACAGAAAAGGCATCGCTGAACAACTTTGTTGTAGCAGGAAAAGATGACAACAGTGTGGAGTGACAAGTGGGTGAGTAACTGATAAGTGATGTGTGCAGACGTCACTTGTCAGTGTGGGGGCAAGGAAGACACACACAATTCGCCACCACTCAGAAGAGAGTACATTTCTTGCGTTGTGGTGAAGAAAACTGCAGGGAGCTGCGACTTGGATCAGTGCTGTAGGCAAGAAGAGAGCGATTGTGGCGTTCATCTCAACTAGTGGGCCCATGGGAACGGTCTGAAGCCAAGGGAGGGTGATTGTACCCTGGTAGTCCACTGTGGTAGACCTAAGAGGTCTGGTTGCCCCAGGTGAGGACCTGTTGACAGACGAGCAAAGCTCGTACCTGTGTATTGACCCCCCACACCTAAGTCAGGATAAGAAGTCGACAGTGATGGTCGAATTAAGAATTAGTGGTTGACCAGGGAGAGGTAAACTCCAGGCGCCATCTTGACTATGGAAGCAAGAGTCG